TATACATATATACACATATATGAGAGTATTTATATATGGGATATATTATATATATCTTTTATATATATATACATATATATGCGAGTATTTAAAAGATTTTCATTAACATGAACATTCTACATCTTCAGTGCTGTATTTTATTTTCCTGCATAGTAACTTAGAAAATTGCCTATTCTCTCTTCAAGTATCTCCCAGGACAAACAACAGTAGAACCAAGACGGACATTTTTATGCATGGGGCACCCTGCTTTGCCAAAGGTCCATGCAGGGAAGTGTAGCCATTTCAGGTGCCACAGAGAACAGCCATGCTGAGCAGGCAATAGCACAGACCAAGAGGACCCAAAGGAGAGAATGCAATGTCCCACAGATGCTACAAAATCACTCTATGATCCGGGGTGACCATGACAGGAGCCCCAGCTTTCTGGTCTGTTGAAGCAGTAATTTAGAAATGGGCCGTTGGCCTCTCCCTTAGGGTGAAAGACAAACTGAGGGCCACTGAGCTCACTTGGGGAAAAGAGAGTGTGGGAATACCAGGGCAGGAAAATGCCCAAGAGGATTCATTAACATCCTGTTTTCTGGACCAACATTTTCATGGGAGGCCATTTCAGCTGAGCAGGTAAGTCCCTTTGAACTGGGGGATAGAACAAGAGTAGAGGGATGGCATCAGGGGACAAGGAGACAAAGCAGCCTCCCCCAGGACTGAGCCGGGGCTCCCGTGGCCCCAGGGACAGCGAAGCCAGGTAGGGCAGGGTCTCTTTTGGGCAACTCCCAATATCTGCTTCCTGCTGCTTTCATCTTTGCTCCCAGATTCTAGCAAGTGTGAGCATCAGGATCCAGAACTCAGTCTGATGCTACTTCCAGTGTTATACAGGCTCCCTGTCACCATTCTGTGTGACAGAAGTAGCTTTCCCGACTTCTTCCCAGGTGTGAGAACAGGAAAGTCATCCTCCTGCTCGAAGGAAGAAGCTACAAAAAGTACTGTACTGACTTTCTGTCTGCATCCTAGTGAAGGCCTGCAGAAGAGGAGGAACAAAGGTGCCCAGACCTCTACACTGGTCAGATTCTTAACCTAAGTTAGCAAAAATCAAACCATTTGGATACTGCTGAGGAAAAACTGTTTTTTCCACTATTGCTGGAACGTCCTTGACATTCACACAACTCCCAGGGCTGTCTACACAGTTGGGTAACTGGGCTCCCCACCACCTGAGGTAAATGATTTTGTCCATTTTTTTGGAAAGTGTGTAATCTTTAGGAACATTGAGTTGAGAAGTGGAGCCCAAAGTAGACCTTAAGAACTTAAGCTACTCTGTCTTCCAGATATGCTATAGATGGTCTATTCTCTAGAGATTTCAGATTCTCTATTGTTCTTTATCTCATCCCAATCTCCTCTATTATTCATTTTCTAAAAATGAAGTGTATTAAATGAAGACTGGTGAAAGAATCTGTGCTATCTTCCAGGACTGCTTCTAGTTACTGTGCGTAGCTATAGTCTCCAGGAAGGTGTTTAAACCTATTGGTAATAAATGCTTCCTGGGGGGGGGGCATCCAAAAAAATAGATGATTTGCCTGTCATATACTTTACTACGTTTTTATCATTAAAATCCTGTGCATCCAGAATAGGCCAACAGAAAGCAGTGAAATAACAGAATAAGCCAAAACACAGGGGATTGATGCTTCACTTACAGGTTCTTCAATACATGTTTGGTGTTGGAGTTATCTGTCCACTTCCCCTGATGCAGGTACTGGTTTCTGTCAATCTCAGGTTGCTGTGTCTCCTGGCTTCTTTCTGGGATTGGACACCATGCTCCAATGGCAACTTTCCAGAACTGTCCTTCTTTTTTCCTATCTCCTAGACCCTTCAATCAGTGATCCTGTGTGGATACTCTAGCTCTGCAGAAAAGTGAGGATCTGGGTCAGGTACAAAAGAGTGAAGATAGGCTTATTAGCTTGATTACAACATACAATCCAAGCTCTTTTATTGCCTACACCTTTCACAAACTCTCCTAAACACAAACACTTGGTCCCCCACATGCAGGACCTCACTCCCTGCAGGTTCATGCTTTATCATAGTCATTTTTTTTTAAAAGCTCTGTTTGCATTGACCCTAAAGGTTTAAGTCTAAAATCAACACCACCGCAAACACTATCTCCTACTCTTGTTCTAGAATCCCTTCTCTTTCATGAGAAGGTGGGTCTAGTCTGGAGAAATGACTGAGGAGGGCACACTGTCCTCCCATGAGGTTTGTGTGTCCAGATGAGTGTTACAAACAAATGTGGGTATGATTATATGGAAAAAGAGGTGGGTAGTTTACTGAAATCACATCTGTCCAGTTTTAGAAGGTCGTATTAAGACTACGTCTCTGCAGAGCACTAACAGTATTTAGTTACTAATCAAACATTATGCCTTAAACACGGGCACAAGAATAGTTGAGTGTCAGAATATAACTGCATTATTAAGAGAGAAATTACTTTATATTTCTAGAAAAATAGATATACCATATATATTTCCATGTAGTAGTCTCTAAATGCTTAACTATTATTGTGATGCTGTTCTCCATAAGATGCTTCTTTTATTCCATTAAAAGAGTTAAAACTGAGATTTAGAAGTCAGTCACTAGTTTGACAGGCATCACCCTTATGGATTCATGTTGGCCATTCTCTGAGTTACACAACGAGGGTGTAATCTTAGCAAAACCTCCCTGGCAATCCATCTGGTCCTAGGCAACTCAAGCACCAACACTAACACAGAATGGCACTCTGGAACTCCACGTGGGGAGGCGACTTCACACTGATGGGGATCCTGAGTGACAGCGAGTATCCCGAACTGCTCTGCGCCACCATCACTGTCCTGTACCTGCTGGCCTTGACTAGCAACAGCCTGCTGCTCCTGGTCATCATGGCAGATGCCCGGCTCCACGTGCCCATGTACCTCCTGCTCGGGCAGCTCTCGCTCATGGACTTGCTCTTCACGTCTGTCGTCACCCCCAAGACCCTGGTGGACTTTCTGCGTGGGGAAAACGCCATCTCCTTTGGGGGCTGTGCCGCTCAGATGTTTCTGGCACTGACGCTGGGTGGTGCGGAGGACCTGCTGCTGGCCTTCATGGCCTATGACAGGTATGTGGCCATTTGTCACCCGCTGAACTACATGGTCCTCATGAGGCCGAGGATGTGCTGGTTCATGGTGGCCACATCCTGGAGCCTGGCTTCCCTGAGTGCCCTGGGATATACTTTGTATACTATGCACTTTCCTTTCTGCAAAGCTCGGAAGATCACTCACCTGCTGTGTGAGATCCCGCCGCTGCTGAAGTTGGCCTGTGCAGATACTTCCAGCTATGAGCTCCTGGTGTATGTGATGGGTGTGATTTTCCTCTTGCTCCCTCTTTCTGTCATCGTTGCCTCCTACACGCTCATCCTCTTTACTGTGCTGCGCATGCCCTCAAACGAGGGGCGACAGAAAGCCCTCGTCACCTGCTCGTCCCACCTGACCGTGGTTGGCATGTTCTATGGGGCTGCCACATTCATGTATGTTCTGCCCAGTTCCCTCCACAGCCCCAGACAGGACAACATCATCTCTGTTTTCTACACGATCGTCACCCCAGCCCTGAACCCCCTCATTTATAGCCTGAGAAATAAGGAGGTCATGGGGGCTTTGAGGAGGGTTCTGGGCAAATACTGTTTATCAGCACATTCCACCAAGTAGGAGGGCTTGTGTCTTGACTCCAAAATTCATTCCTCCTCACAGATTTCTCCCACAGGTCACTGAACTCAGAATGAAAAATGAAGGGTTGTAACTTTCACTTTTCAAAAGCTCTTTAGAATCTTGTTTTTATAAGGTAATTTGTAAGGTATGGATCATACTCTGTTTAGAATTTACTGTCCATTTTCCCAGAATTAAATGGGACTAGATCTGACTACCTTTATGCACAAGCTATCAGTAGTTTGCTTGTATTTGCAATATATTCAATCTTCTTTTTCCAAACATCTGCTCTTACGGAAACTGCCCCACTTGGATACTGCAACAGGTGCTTTTGTTGGTTTGTTTTTGATTTGGGGATATTTTATACTGCCTAAAATCTAAATGTTACTGAAGTGAATAAAATAGAAAGTTAAGCCATCGCACAAGCAACAGCTCCAGTAAATAAAGACTTATGCTGGTTCTTGGAAACGTACACACAGTGGGTTTTCCATATCCTTAATACTGCCTTGAAATGACCCTACATTTGCAAAACGTTCAAAAACTTGATATTTGCATATGTGTGGGTCTATGGGTGTATACTTGTGCTAATAAGGATGGAAAAGTATATTATTTAATTTTAGGGTAGCTTGAATAGATTGTACTATTACATTTGTCTGTAAGTCTGGAAACATTGAAATAAAAGCCCCAGCTGATTTTGATGTTTCAAAATAACAGTGCATTTGGATATTCTTTGAGGGAATATTGCTTTTTAAAAATATTGCTAACACCCTTTTTCATCTTTAACCCTAAAGAAATTCTTTTTAAAAAAATTAGTAAAATGAATAATACTAGGAATAGGCAAAAGCCAACTAAAATCTCTTTAACCAGAGGTAATCTTTCCATGTTTAATTACAGTTCCTTCCATTTTTGATGTAGCATGCTTTTTTTGCTAATAGGTTCAATTAGAATATATTTCCCTTAATAATAGACAGAGACCTCCCTCTATGATATATGGCAGCTTTATAAAACAATGACAGAGACTAAGGTCAGTTGTCAGAATTCAAGATTTGATTTCAATACGTCCCCACTTACTTATGTAACTTTATCTAACTCACATTACTTAACCTCTACTCTTAACTCGTATGTGTCTAAACTAAATTGTACTAAAAGGAAGTCCTACTTTATAGTGACTATTAATGAGAATGAAAGAAGTTAGTAAATACAAACCTAAGGCATTTAGAGCAGTTGTCATATGAGTATTTAATAAATTTAACTCTTACATAAATAAACAGCATTGAAATTCTTCCATGTGGTGACAAGTTATATTATATGGATATTTTGTAATGGAATTGGCTATTCATCACAGTTACACATTTGATGTTGTTGCTGTTGTTCATGGTGGTGTGAGTGTGTATTTGTGAGTATTGTGTTTGTGCATATGTGTGTAAAACAGCAATACTAATCTCTTGAATGTGCAACTGCTGTTTGTCACTTAGAACAAATTCTTATCAGTGGAATTACTAAAATCAAGCTGTAAAATCTCTTTACTATGCGTGCTATAAAAAGATGAATCAACTGTTTTAATACTAAATATTTTGCATTTTTACCAATATCATTTGTGTATTCTTAACCCACCATACCTTTTCTTAGGTTAAGTTTAACATAAAAAACCTTTAATGATTTATTGTGTGTAATATTTAAGTATGCTGTTTCAATTTGCTTCATACATTAATTGTTGTTTTTCTTACTGACTTGCTGGGATACTGACCCTTGGCTTTATCTGTATTGCATCACTGCAAACATCATTATGTGATGCTTTCTTATTTATACCTTAATTTTGTGCTTTTCTTGCCTTTACCATCTAAATGCAAACTCCATTAGGCCTTGAATTATGCTATGTGTGTATGTTAGCTACTTCTCCATAAAATCTACACAGTGTCTACCACTACTATGTGAAAAATGTGTGTTTGTGTGTGTGTGTATATCTTTAATGAGTGAAGAGATATATTGCATGCTTCTAGAGAAGATGTAGGGTTTTTTTTTTTTAGATTTATTTATTTGTGCATATAGAACTGGGGTACAGGCCAGAGGTGCAGGGGTGGTGAGAAGATTCACCAGAGACCGAGTGGGGAGCAGAACAGGAAAATCCACAAAGTGCACTGCTGAGGGGAGCAGTGGGTGGGTCAGGAGAGGTCTGCTGTGCCATGTGGATCACCTCCAGGGCAGGTGGAGATCAAACTCATGTTGAAGTGGCTTTGGCTTCTTAGTGCTGTGCTTTAACCCGCTGCGCCACCAGGGAGGGCCCGAAGATGTAATATTTTTATTTAAATGTTATCTTTTTTTGTGAAATACCCATTAATTCAATATAATAACCATCAGATTTCTATTGGCATTTTAACAAGTGGATTTTTGTAAGTGTAGAAATAAAAAGTATATGAATTATGCAGAAATTTTGAAAATGGAAGAAAAAAGCTATGTCCTATCAGCTAAAGTTATATTATTGAAATACAGCAAAACGAATGCAGTATTTGGAGAATGATAAACCCAGGATATTTTAATGTCTGGTGGTTAAAGATAAAGTCCTGTGTCAGGATGTCCTCTGCAGATTCATGTCTCCTCTTTTCCAGAAATTACATGGAGCCATGTAATTATTATTGATTATCAGTGAATGGAGTGGAAGATGCGATGTGTGCTCCTTCTAAGCCACTCAGTCTTTTTTTTAATCTTTAATGTGTATATTGACATGCAGCATGACCTTGAAAGCCTCCAAGAGCAGAGCTTCTGTTATCTTGATCCACATACCTGCTACTCCATCTCTCCACTAGAATTTCTTTAGTGAGAGATAAATTTATACCTGTTATACCACTGACATTTGGATTTAACTGTTAGTATGAATGTGATCAGTAAATATGTCCCTAAAAGCACATAAAAACCTTTGTTTTTATATAAGTCTTTTAGTGGAACACATTTATCTGGGTGTTACCTGTCACTGTTCTCTGATTACAATGGTAGAGTGAATAGTTAAGATGAGGGCAGACTGACCGATAAAACCAAAAATATTTACTTATAACCTGGGATTTATACAGAACAGTTGGATGATCCCTATGTAAACTGTTAAAGATTTTTTTTTAATTTTAATTTTAAATTATGCATACAAGAACTAGGGTGAAGGCCAGAGGTGTGGGCAAGGGGCAGTGAGAGGATTCACCAGAGACAGAGTGAGGAGTAGAACAGGCAGATGCACTGAAATCCACTGGTGAGGGGAGCAGGGGTGAGACAGGAGAGGTCTGCTGCATCATGTGGGTCACCTACTTGGCTGGGGATTGAACTTGTGCTGCAGTGACTATGGAGAGCTCCATAGTGCTGTCCTTTAACCTGTTGCACCACCAGGGAGGGCCACTTTAATATAACTCCTTTAATATAACTCCTTCAAGACTGAAAGCGAAAACTTGCTTTTCTGGTAAAACTGTTGGGGTGCATTCTTGGGTGTATCAAACATCACTTACATCTACTTTCAGTTAACTTTAAATCTCATTCTGCAGCCACATCTCTCTCTCTTACACTACAGTTTTATTCATTCATTCAATATTATATTTCTTAAGCAACCACGATGGCTATGCACTTTACCACAAGTGATTTGATAGAGGTGAACAAAGCAGTCAGAGTCTTCACTGCCACTGAATTCACAGTCTAATGGATGACTCAGATATAACCCAATGACCATGCAATTTGTTTATATGAAAGCCATCGCATTGCCAAAAAGCAGCCTATAATTTTCAGTGTGCTTAGGAATTACCTGGGGTTTGTTGTAAATGGAGATTCCTGAGGTAGAATGACTGACCCCATCATATACTAAATAATATTTTTAACAAAAACTCTGGATCCATTTCAACTCATGATTGCAAAATCATGAACTATATTATAAAAAAAAATTACCAAGGTATACAACCATGTCCAAGTCCTCCTGTAAAAAAAATCCTCATTTTCTTTCTAATTAAAAAAAAAAGATTTATTTATTTATTACTCAGAACTGGAGTACAGGCCAGAGGCAGGGGAAGTGAGAGGATTCATTAGAGACAGAGTGGGGAGCAGAACAGGCAGACTGAAGAAGTATACTGCTGAGGGGAGCAGCAGGTGAGACAGCAGGAGAGGTCTGCCGCACCATGTGAGTCACCTCCCTGGCCAGGGATGGAACTCCTGATGAACTCCTGTGGCTAGCTTCATAGTGCTGCACTTTAATCCATTGTGCTACCATTTTCTAAAAACAGCATTTTTTAGAATTACATGGGTAAATCCTTTAGTTTTGAACTTAGAGTTTTTCACAGTGTAAAAATGCTTGTTTACTTCAACCTTATATCTCATTAGTTTCCTAATGGTATACTTATTCTTAAAAAATTTTATTTGCTATTCCTTAAATGTGCTCTCCTTAAATTTCAGAAATTGTTCAATATAGAATTTAACGCTATGTTAGAAAAGTATTTTCTATGGCTATATCTCCAGTTATAAATATATCTAGGAAATATAGAAAATATTCAGAATAAATTTGATGAATGCATGAAGGAGTCAGAATGACTCCATTAGCCTGAAACATGTTCATGTATGTGATAGATTTATTTGGCTTTTTGATTTTTATTCTTAGTTATATACCTAGTTGTTTTAACTGCCTTATTAGTATGGCTTGGAGAACAGTGACTTAGTTTAATTATCTAGTTTCTCTCCTCCCACCTACCCTGTCTTTTCTTCCTTCTTTCTGTTCACCATCTTTCTCTTCCTTCATTTTTCCCATTTTGATGCCAATTTACTTTCTGTTTATATCAAGGTGCCTTGTTATGAGTAGTCAACTTGCTGAACTTATCTGAGAAAAGACATGGGAATATAAGAGAAAGAAGTAAAAGTAGAGCAACATTATGAAAATAGGAAGTTTTTACAAGAAAATAATTTCTCTCCATATCCTGCAGAATAACAAAGATCCTCATCTTCAAAAAGTCTATTTTGTAGTCATTCTTCTGAGAGCCCCTTTGACA